ACACCGGGCTTGGGGCGCAGACTGAGGTCTCCCACTGCAGCCTGGCACCACGCAGCCTCAGGTCCCTGCTGATCGCTTGTTATGGGAACCCCGCCTCCGCTGTGGGCGCAGCCATCTTGTGATGGCATGATAGAGTGAGGGTCAATTTGCATACTCCCGCTTTATTATAGAGGGTAGGGGTGACACTGGTTAAAAAGTCACACAGGTTTCAGGTGCACAATTCCACGACACATCGTCTGTACACTGTACTGTGTGTTCAAATCGCTGCCATCACCACTTACCCCCGTCCTCCTGTCCTCCCTCCCCCACCCCCAGAGCGCATTTTACACTGTTCCCCTCGCGTAGCATGAGAGTCGCTTGTGAGAATGCTCACCCTTTCTCCTTGCAGATATCCCACTTCCATGCCATAGGCTTTGTGCCACCAGGAGGTGTCATCGACGCACCTTAAACTCAAAGACTTGCTGGCGCGATAGAGCCAGCGCCCTGCGGCTGTCCTGCCGACCCAGTGTGGGCCTCAGGTCTGAGCGTGGATGCCATTCTCTCCGTCCTGCTCCCGCCCAGTGGGGTTCGGTGGCTCCTGCCACACAGACCAGCCTGCTGTTGTCATTGTATCGTTGTCCCTGCTCTCCTCTCCTCTCCAGGAAGAGCCACTGTGAGTGACAGAGGGTAGGGTGCTGCCGCTGGGCACACTCACGAGACGGTGGGGCAGGAGGGCTGTACGGCTGAAGCGAAGGAGCAGGCGCCAGTCCGAGGCCTGGCTGCAGCGGAACAGGAGCATAACCCTGCAGCATTTCCCCGTTGCTAACGACTCTGTCAGTGGGAAAGAGACACAGGTCTTGACTGGAATGATCTGTGTAAGAACACGAAATATTGGTGTGTGTTGTGTGCATATGTGTGTGCATGTGTATGTATGTTTTATGAGCACGTGCATGTGTGTTTGTGTGTGCACATGTGTGACGTGCATTTGTATGTCCACAAGTGTGTGCATGTGTGTGTGCGCATGTGTGCATGCACTTGTGTGTGTAGACTTGATATGGCCTGAGCAGAGCCCCGGGAAGGAGAGGCCTCCTGGTTGAACTTCTCTCCGGTGAGCGGTGCGAGACGCTGCGGGTCGGCTCTTTGGTGTGTGCTGTGGGCCTCGTCGGCCTGCGGGTGGCTCCAGTGTCCGTCCTGCCAGTGAAAGGATCTCTCCATGGAACAACAGAAACGCATCTGCCCCTTCAGCGCCCTTGATTGTGCCAAGTAGAAAAATGGGAATGCCCCGTTCCAGGAGAACTGCCTGGCATTCCACGAGCCCTTGAGGCAATCCTGGAGCCACTGGGAGGTGTCAGCAATGTGCTCCTCCCACACCTCCTGGGCAGGGTGTGCTGAGTCCAGGTCCAAGGGGAGGACTGGGCCCGGAACACGAGGCAGCTCACTCCCGGTGCGGACGGGGATAGTGCAGAGCTGGGCTGCAACCCTCCAGCCAGCACCTTCCTGACCTCTGTGCTCACGCCTCCTGCAGAGCCAGGGCAGCGCTCCCAGCACGGCCTCCAGGGTCTTCTTGCTGAGAGGTGGAGGGTGAGAGGGAGCGAGAGATGAGGGAACTGGCGAGGTCAGGGAAAGGAGAGCAACAGCTGGAACACGTCCCAGAGGCGCCCCAGGTAGTGAAGGTGGTGGCTGTCGCGAGGGGCACCAGGCAAAGGCATCTGGCGTGGCACCTGAAGCAGGACCCACGTGATTCTTGGATCCTCGGTAGGTGGCGGGAGTTTTCTGGTCAACAGCTTGTCTTCACCTGTGATAACAAGATGCTGCTCCATGTTCTCCCCCCCAGGATGCAGGTTCCATTATTTTTTTAAAATTAGATCATTTTATTTTATTTTTAAAATTTTCAATAAATTTATACCCCCTCAGCCATCCCTCATGCCCTCCACCTCTGGCAACTGACCATCGGTTGTCTGTTTCTAAGGGCTTCGTGTTTTGTGGTGGTGTTTTTTTAGATTCCACATTTAAGAGAAATCGTATGGTATTTGTCTTTCTCTGACTTCTTTCATTTAGCATAATACCCACTAGGTCCACCCATGCTGTCACCAATTGTTAGATTTCATCCTTCCTGTGGTCTTGTAGTATTCCATCCTGTAAAGGTAACCACAGCTGTTTAATCCAGTCATCTATGGGTGGGCACGTAGATTGTTTTCATCTCGTTGCTTTTGTAAATATCGCTGCACTAACTGCAGATCGCTGTGGGTAGTACAAATATTTGAACAATATTGATTTTTCCACTCCATGAGCATGGAATATCTTTCCATTTCTTTGTGTCTTCTTCAATTTCTTTCATCACTGTTTTGTAGTTTTTACCTCCTTGGTTAAATCTGTTTGTAGGTGTTTTGATTCTTTTTGACACAATGTGAGTGGGCCTGTTTTCCTCCTTTCTCTCGCGGGTGTTCTCATCAGCAGAAATGCAGCAGCGTGTGCGGCCTTGTCCTGGGACAGGCTGTGGTTCCCTCGCCATCACATGTCCCCCGAGCGGGGCAGGGCGTTCTAAGACTGACACAGGCAGCCGGCCTCCTCCACCCTCTGTCCACATTGTTGCCAACTTGGTTCTTCTTGTCCCTGAGGCGCACGCCACACAGCGTGGAGGGTGTGTGGTAACGGCAGCGGGAAGACACCGGCCCTGGGACCTCCCCACGGCAATGGAAGTGGAGAGGTCTCGTTCTAGTTCCAGCTCCATCACTATGCAGCTTTGCGACTTCAGGTGAATCTCTGGGCCTCACTTTGCTCACCTATAAAATGGGCAAAATAAGCTACTCTGCACTTCACAGGGAACCAGATGAGACAGTGGGGTCAATGGGCTTTGGAAAGTCACATGCAGATATTGAGGGCTGGGATTTGTCACTTTTGGATTCGTGATTTTTTTTTTTTTTTTTTTTTTTTTTAGAGAGGAAGGGGAGGGAGAGAAACAGTGAGAGAGAAACATGGATAGATTGCCTCCTGCATGCGCCCCACCGGGGGGATTGAAGCCGAAATCTGGGTATGCGCCCTGATTGGGAATCAAACCCACCACCTTTGGTGTGCGGGATGACTCTCCAACCAACAGCCAGGGCGGGGGTGGGGTTGGAGGTGGGGGGTGGTGTGGTTGTTACTTACGGGAGAGGAGGAGGACATTAAACACCCGCACACTGTGAGACAATGGTCTGTCAAGTAGCTGCTGAAGGAGGAAACAGCAAAGACAGAGGGGCCTTGT